TGTGAGAGTGAGTGAGTGAGAGAGAGAGAGAGTGAGTGAGTGTGAGAGTGTGTGAGAGTGTGTGAGAGTGTGTGAGAGTGTGTGAGAGTGTGTGAGAGTGTGTGAGAGTGTGTGAGAGTGTGTGAGAGTGTGTGAGAGTGTGTGAGAGTGTGTGAGAGTGTGTGAGAGTGTGTGAGAGTGTGTGAGAGTGTGTGAGAGTGAGTGAGAGTGTGTGAGAGTGTGTGAGAGTGAGTGTGAGTGTGAGTGTGAGTGTGAGTGTGAGTGTGAGTGTGAGTGTGAGAGTGAGTGTGAGTGTGTGAGTGAGTGTGTGTGAGTGTGAGTGAGTGAGTGAGTGTGAGAGTGTGAGTGTGTTGGTGTGTGAGTGAATGTGAGTGAGTGTGTGTGTGTGTGTGTGTGCAGCCTTTCTCCTCATTCATCAGTAACATCGGCCCGCTTCTCTCTGCAGATCTGCTGCGCATGTTCTTCGACGTCTTGTATGACGAGGACGTCATCAAAGAGGATGGCTTTTACCGGTGGGAGTCCAGCAAAGATCCCGCCGAGCAGCAAGGCAAGGGCGTGGCCCTCAAATCCGTCACCGCCTTCTTCACCTGGCTGCGCGAGGCCGAGGACGAATCAGACAACAGCTAGAGCTTAGGCCACACCCACTGCAGAGATGATTGACATGATGAAGGGCAAGAAAAAACTATATTTTGAAAAAAAAAAGGAAGAATGAGACATTGGGTAGATTTTCGACGCCTTTATACTTTTTGTTTTGCCTTTCCGTTTGCGCAAAAAAAAAAAAAAGCCGTTGAACTGAAACGAAATAAAGTATTAGAGGATGACAAGCCGTTTATATATAGCTGCTCAGTTTATAGAGTTTTAGCCGTTAGCATTGCTACTTCCTGTTTCTGGCTCCCGCCGCCATGGAGAGGAACGTCGATGACATCATCACTCGTTTATGATGTCACTTCCTGTTGACAGAATGCTGCTCGGAGTTCTATTTTTCGTTCCGAAAGCGAATTTATTCGTATACGAATATATATATATATATATATATATATTCATGGGCGCTGATGTGGTTTTGCGCGGAGCGGCTGATCGTGTGCATGTTGCTGTAATGAGGAGGATTGGATTGTTTTAGTTTTTTTTGTCGTTTCTTTTTATTTTGGATTTCGTTTCGCTCTAGTGGAGTGTTCCGAGCTCTTTTTTTCTACGTTTTTTATGACAGAAAACAAATAAAAAATGCGAATCGGCCCTTTCAGAGCTGCGGTTTTCCCGGTGTTTGGTTGCAGCTCTGGGCGACACGTGTGCGATGAACTAGAGACGTTAAACTTTGACCTTTTTGCTGCTGCTGCTGCCGCCGAGACGCTTCTGCCGGCCCGAGCTGATGTACGGTTCACTTCAACACTTCACAGAGACAGGTTTGAGAAATAAAGAGGGTGACGAGGAGCGCTTGTGGACGTGCTCTTTTGCACCTGTTGTGAACTTTATGAAACAAATTATAGCGACTTGAAAAAATCTATATAGAAATAAGTGTTTAAAAGAAAAAAGCTGGAGAATGAGAGAGTACGAATACTAAATGCCTTTCAGCTCCCTCGAGAGCGACCTGTAAATACATACTTTCTTTTGTTTTTTAAATAATAAAAATGCTAAATTTAATGCCATGTATTAATTTTTTGGCTTTTTTTTCTCTATTTTTTTCTGTTTTTTGCGGTTTCACCACCCAGCTTGTATAATTATCCTCCTCTAGGTATTGATTATAGTTTAATGAAATTATGTAAATATTGCTTTTTTGCTTTAAGTATTTAATTAAGAAAAATTAATGCCTCTTTTCACATTTGAAACTGGAAAAGATAATAAAGAACATTGCAATGAAAAAATGACAAACATGTCTTGTTACCTTTCTGTTCCATTTCTTAAAGGAACAGTTCACCCAAAAATTAAAATCGTCGTCATTTACTCGCCCTCGAGTTGTTCTAAGAGTTTCTTTCTTCTGCTGAACACAAAAGATGTTTTGAAGAATCTTGGTAGCCAAATACTTCCACTGACTTCCATAGTATTGAGAAAAAAATACAATTTATGCCACTTTTATTTTTGGGGTGAACTATCCCTTTAAGGCTTATTTCAGCACAAAGTGTTCGAGCTGAATGGGTTTGTAAAACATCTGCATTTAATTACAGACTGTGTTCTGTTATAGCTGAGAGTTTACTGGATTAATCTCATCATTTATTATTTTATCCACCTTATTTTTAAGGTACAGCACGTGAAGATTGTGTTGTGATTGATGCACAAAGTGTGCGCTTTATACTTTGCTCTTTATGTAGTGTGAGAAATAGGGTCTGATTTGATAAAGGCGTGTTATCAGCATCATACAAGTGAACCTCGCATCTGTTAATCTGTCGGTTTTATCTTCTTTTATGGCTCTTGATTCATAAATATCCTCATATCAGCCACTAATAATAATCATCAAGCCCTGAACGATTGGTTCCGTTTTTTTAGTACGAATATCTAAACGTTCTTTAATCAAGATGCGTTTACTTGAGAAGGAAAATGACTTGGGAAATTTTTAAGTGAGTTATAGAATAGCTGCCAATGGGGTCAGAAAAATAACTTGTTTTCCTTTTGCGTTAAGTTTGTTTTTCTGAGCACAGTGGCAGATTCTCAGTTCATTTTCAGAAAACAATTCTATTTTGTTTCTCAAGTAAAAGCATCTTGATTTAAGGATGCAGTGTGTGAGTTATACACACTTTGCAGTCACTTGTCGGTGTTTATCAGGCATGTGTTTCTAGTGTCCATGAACTCTTGAGTTGTCTGTGATCTGCGTGCTGATTGGTGGAGACGGTGTTTACATCACTGGGGGGGTCAGAAGTCGTCTGTCTGAACTGATTTATGCGGTTTCTTGCGTGTTTTCGGCGTGGTCTCGTCATGTTTGCTGTCCGTGTGTCCGTCCTCTGTTATCTGCTGCCTCTGCTGTGCATGAGCTCTGGATCAGGTGAGACGCCTGTCATCAGATTTTACAGATTTACATTAATTTTCCTTAAAGGAATTAATACTTCTATTCATCAAGGATGCATTAAATTGATCAAAAGTGACCGTAAAGACATTTATAATGTTGCGAAAGATTTCTATTGCAAATAAATGCTGTTCTTCTGAACTTTCTGTTCATCTGTGAATCCTGAAAAATAAAATGTATCACAGTTTCAACAAAAATATGAATGTTTCCAACATTGATAATAATAAATGTTTCTTGAGCAGCAAATATTAGAATGATTTCTGAAGATCATGTGACACCGAAGACTGGAGCGATCACAGAAATAAATTAGTTTAACAGATATTCACATAGAAAACAGCTGTTTTAAATTCTAAAAATATTTCAGTATTTTTGATCAAATAAATGCAGCCTCTGTGAGCAGAAGAGATGTCTTTCAAAAGCAATTTTACAGTCCCCAAACTTTCGAACTGTAGTATAAATACCAATTTATCAATAATGTAGTGAAATTAATGAATTATGATGCATTATTTACACACTGTTTCACAGTAATGGCTTGTTTATATATATATATATATTTACAATACCATAAAAATACATATTTTTGCATTTTTAAGACATGTAGCCATGAAGTACATTAAAAATACCATCGTACATGCATATGCTATCATTTTCATAACCATTTAGTGGAAACAAAGTATCTTTATATTATGATGAAGGGTTTTTATGAATAGTTTGATGTGGTACTGCAGCTGCGGTGTTATTCAGACAGATAGAGGCGTGTGGTTGAGAAACCGTCTCCTCTGAGAGTGGCTGAGCGCTTTTTATCTGTAGAAAGTGTGTGGGTTTGAGTTTTGAGCTGCTTCTCTAATCAATGGCTGCGACTCGTGAATTTGATCCACTCCAGTCCACATTCAAGAGGATCCACTCCACATCAAAGTCACTTCGAGTCGCTCTGTCTTCAGACAGCTGCTCTCTTTCATTCACTGGCCTCGTTTGAGAAGCAGGAGATTTCTCACTGCTGTCTGGGAGAAATGATGGAGGTATTAGAGATCTCACAAACCGCAGAATGAAACTCCGAGACATGCATGTGATGTGCTGTATATATGCATTTCTGCGTGTCAGTTTTCCCTTTCTATGGTTGCTGTAGATTATGTAATGATGATACAATATCTGAAGCTTTACAGGTGATATTCTTCTTCTAACCATTCATTCATTTGCGTGATTAAACATATTTCATCTTTACATCTTAAGAATAAACATTCGTAGAAAGGGTTTTTCAGCCAGATTTCACTGGTGAACCTTTTAAAGTCAACCTGAATGGCATTTGCAACCCATTTTACCTCTGAAAATGTGAGAAATGAAAGTTGGGATCCCAACCTCAATGCAGCCCTCTATTTTGTAGTATTTGTTGATATTTTGAATTAGCTTTTATATATTTTATATATATATATATATATATATATTTTTTTTTTTTTTTTTATTTTTTTTTTTTTTTTTACCTCTGAAAATGTGAGAAATGAAAGTTGGGATCCCAACCTCAAGGCAGCCCTCTATTTTGTAGTATTTGTTGATATTTTGAATTAGCTTTTATATATTTTATATATATATATATATATATATTTTTTTTTTTTTGGTTATATTTTTTTATTTTATTGTGGAAAAGTTGTTTCAGATCAGTGTTTTAGTATAATTTATATAGTTTTTTTTTAATTAGTATTGACTTTTTATTTAGAATTAGCCTTTAATTTTATATTTTCGTTTAAGTTTTAGTAATTTTAAGTGCTTTTATCGTTTTATTCATTTTTCTTATTTTTAAGTTATATTTCTATGTAGCTTTCATTTGTAACTTTTGTTTTACAAACATATTGTAATATTTTGAATTAATATTTCATTTATATTTAGAGTTAGCCTTTATTTTTATGTTCAGTTTCCATTTTATTTTTAGTTTAAGTTTTAGTAATTGAATGTGCTTTTGTCATTTTTATTAGTTTTTCTTCTTTTTTTATTATATTTCTATATAACTATAATTTATAAATTTAAAAAAAATATATTGTAATTTGTTTGTTGTTGTTGTTTTATTTTAAATTGACATACTTAAACATCTCATTTTTGTTTACATTTGTTTATCATCAAATATTTATATTTCAGTCATATTTCTCTTAATTCTTTAGAAAAGCATTAACATAAACACTTAAAAATAAATCATCTTTATTGCCATTATGGTTTCATGAAGAACCTTTAATATCATGAAACATTGCACAAAAGATTCTAAGATAATTGAAATGATCTTCACGCTGAACAAAAAGGTTATTTTAATAATGTTTTTGTTAAGGTTCTTCTATGACAATGCTATGGAAACCTCTTTTGGTTAAGAGTGAATCTGATGCTTTGAAGAACCCAGAAACCAAAACACTGATCTGAAGAACCTAGAATGAATCATCAAGAACTTCTTTTAATCTTCACAAAACCGTAAATCAACTAAAGAAAGTGAAAATGGTTCTTGATGAGAAGAAGGTTCTTGGTTAAACCTGAGAAGCACTGAGTGTTTGAGACTGAAGCACAGCAGAGAAAAAATTGTTTTGTCAGTTATGTATTTATCTTGTCATCTTGCACAAAACTAATGTGTGTAGCATTTGTTTGTCCGTATCTCAGTTGAAGAGGAGAATCCAGAGTTCTGGAGGAGTTCGGCTCAAAACACACTGTGTTCGGCTCTCAGCAGAAAACACAACACTAATGTGGCCAAAAACATTCTGCTGTTTCTGGGAGATGGTAAGATGAACATTTTACAACCTTCAGCAAAGTGCTTAAGATT